GAAAGTGAGAGATATGTGTTGTAATGTGTTGTTTAGTTCATGAGAATAGAAAAAGAAGAAGGGTAAATGGAATTTGGAGGCATTAAGAGCTTCAAAATTGGTTGTTCATGGTTGTTGGAGTATTGATGACAATGGCAATCTTGTAATTACTTGAAGATGATGAGGGTGAGAGAGTAAATATGTTATTTTCGAAACCAAACAAAAAAAAAAAAATTGATGGTATTTTCGTGAATTATATGAACTTGTGGGGTGAATTGGGCAAAGTAAAGTTCCAAAAAAAAGGAGGTTAGTTTTGTGGTTGACTTCAAGTTTCAGGTCAATTCTGCAAAAAGCCCTAACATAGACCCTACTTTTCTTCCTTTTCTTACTAAGTTAGTGACAAGTATCATTGAAAGGAAGACAACCACATGAGCTACGGCCGGAAACCAAATAGCCACGACGGTTTGTTAACTTCCTTGCCGTTTCAGCTGCTCTCTGCAACTGCTCAGCATGTTGCTGCCTCGCCGTAGCTCTCCAATCCTCAGCTCTCCGGTGCACCGTGTCCATCCTCTTCATCAGTTTCTCTTCAAAATTTGATCTCATCCTCTGTATTTTCACCTAAAGCAAATAAAAGACCACCCAAAACAAGAAACTAATTATGAAAATATTTAAAATCATCACAGCTCTCAACTTTGGACTTGTATGATCTAATAACTACATAATAGATTGATTAATGGTTTAATACTCCATCTGCTTTAATATAAGTGTCACTTTGACTTGTTTTATGTAAAATTTTAAAAATGAACAAATATACTAATATATCATTATTTAGTGTATAATTACTCAAATACAAATAATTTTTTAAAATATATATTAGTTAGCTAAAAAGGTAAAAAATAAATTATATGTAAAAAAATTACATTTAAAATGTAAAAAATTTACATTTAAAATATAAAATGACATTTATTTTGAAATAATAAAATGATTTTTATTTAGAAATAGAAGGAGTATGTCTTAAGTTTTTTAACTCTGTAAATTATCATTTTTTCACATGGGACTTGCACAAGTTACAAGTACAACTACAAAGATATCATCATCTAATTTTAAAAAATTAGAAAGTCGAAGACTTTTTGCTTCTAAAGTAACGAAGACTAGTCAATGAAGTCGTGCAAGGGACTTCGGACATTACTCTAATGTTGACGCATGGCTCCATAAATCTATTACTAGAACAGAACAAAAACCGTATTTTTATACGGTTCCATCCCCAAAACATACGTATTATCATGCACATACCTCGAGTTTCCTGGACTGAGCTTCGGCTTTAGCATTTTGGAGATTCACCCATGCCTGGATCTTGGCTTCTTCTCTTTGATATCTACAAAAGAAATCGACTTTTTGAGTTTATCAAAAGGAAAAAAAAAACTTTCAAATTCCTGTTTATACCTTTGACAAAACTTGATCTTGTCATCTTCACCATCCCATAACGCAGCTTTAGACTCTGAAACACTTCTCCGTAACTCACTTTCCATGTCTATATGTCTTAAGCTCTTCGATATCTCTTCTTCTTCCTCTTCCCTCGAGTAAAAAACTTTGAGGGTATGTGCCGGAGATTCATGACCGGAGGTGACCCATTTCTCAGCATCGTCCCATTTAGAAGGGAAGTTTCTTCTTCTCCCAGAGACATTGCTGCTGAAACTGAAGACTCCTCTACCTGGAGTGCAAGGAGACTCCATTAGCATCACTCTTCTCTGCCCACTGCTTCTTCCATCTCCAATGCTCTTTTGTGATGAAAAACTCTGTCTTCTTTCGTTTATTATCTCACTACTGCTGCTACTGCTTTGGTTTGATGAAACTGGCAGTGATTTGATGTACTCTGCTTTTTCCTTGAGATTGATTCTGCTTGTAAGTGAGTCTGCAAATGGGTTTGTGCTCATTCTTGGCTCTATATCTAAAGTTTTCTCCTGAAAACAAACAACAAAGAGAGATTTGAAGAACAAGAAAAAAAAAAGAGAAGTAATGAAGACAAGAAAAGACTTTGTTTCTTTTACCATATTAGGAGGAAACAGAGACTGAGATTGAATATGGAGCCTGGTGATGTTGTTTCTTGTGATGTCCATGGAGTTTTATTTGTTTTGTTTCTTCTATTGTGTTCTTGTGTGTTTATTTTTGGTTAGTAGCTCTCTCCATGTAGTGGAGTTGTTATATGGTTTGAGAAGACTTATAGAATGAAGTGTTGTAGGGAAATGGCATTAGCATGTCCATCGATAGACACCCCTTATGGGTGCTTTAGATTAGTTTAAGAATAAAAATGGGCTTTTGAAAGTTTAAGAACCTTTGTTAGTGTTAATCAAATTTTTGACCTCCAATGGGAGAACCCCTATGGGGTTCTTAAATTTTTTTTTTTTTTTTAAATATAATGATTTAAATAAAAACATACATAAAGTTTAAATAAAAAGGACATAAAAGCATATTAGAAATACAAATACAAATTGTGAAAGAGAAAAAGTCGATTAGTTGAAATCTTGATTTGTTCCAAATTTTCGCCATATATGCTCAACCAAATCAGCTTTCAATTGTTGATGTATTGTTTTATCACGAATTCGACTCCGAGTGCTCATCACATTGCCGAGATTTGAAGGCATATCTGTAGAATACGAGAAATCCACTTCCGAACTTCGGTTTGATTCTGGTTGTGCGAAAACTGATACATCAAACTGAGTGTATCCATCTCGTTCGTCTTCTACGATCATATTGTGTAGAATGATACATGCTCTCATTATCTTTCCAATTTTTATTTTATCCCACAAAAGAGCTGGATTTTTTACTATGGCAAATCGAGCTTGCAAGACCCCAAAAGCACGCTCGACATCTTTACGGACAGCTTCTTGTTGTGTAGCAAATAAGGATGCCTTCGGATCTTGTGGAAGTGTAATAGATTGGACAAAAGTAGCCCATTTTGGATAAATACCATCTGTGAGATAGTAAGCCAACTGGTACTGGTGTCCGTTGACAATGTAATTAACTTTTGGAGCTCGACCTTGTAATATATCATCAAAAACTGGTGATTGATCAAGAACATTGATATCGTTTAATGTACCTGGAGGTCCGAAAAATGCGTGCCATATCCAGAGATCTTGTGAAGCTACAGCCTCTAAAACAATTGTTGGCTTTCCCGATCCACGTGTATATTGTCCTTTCCATGCTGTCGGACAATTCTTCCACTCCCAATGCATACAATCAATGCTCCCTATCATCCCGGGAAATCCGCGTAGCTCTCCAATATCGAGTAGTCGTTGAAGATCTTCCGGCGTGGGTCTTCTTAGATACTCATCTCCAAATAAATCTATGATTCCCTGAGCAAAATGTTCTAAGCATAAAAGCGCGGTGGTCTCGGCCAGTCGGAGGTATTCGTCGACCGCATCAGCTGGACAACCATATGCCATCATACGAATTGCGGCCGTTGCCTTTTGTAACGCGGAGTGGCCGAACCTTCCAGTGGCATCTCTTCTTTGTTGAAAGTATGGAACTTCAGCGGAGAGTCGATCAACAATACGAATGAACAAAGGCTTGTTCATTCGAAAACGGCGTCGAAACATGTGAGAAGGATATGTTGCATCTTCACTAAAATAATCGTTCCATAACTGCATGTGCCCTTGTTCTCGTTGTCTTTCGATATAGGCTCGTTTGTTTTTTGACCTTGGTGCTTCTTGACGATTTTCATGCTGAATGAGGAGTTTATCGAATTGTTGATCAAAAATTTGATCAAATCTCTCATCAATGTCTTCCATATTATTGTAAGAAGAAGAAGATGCCATAAGCTTTAGAATTTTTTGAGTTTGTTTGTTGAATTTGCTATGTTTCTGTCTCGGGTGCTTCTGGTTTTATAGCTAAAACATAAAAAATTGTTGTAAAGAAAAATTGTTGTTGTAACTACATGTATTTGTTTGCTTGTGCAAAATACAAACGTGAACAACATTTCAAAAGTTGTTACAAAGAAAAATTGTTACAACAACTTCTAGTAGTTACAAACGTGAAAAACAAATGTAAACAACAACAATGATCTTCTTCTGTCCCATGCCGACATCCCTGATATAAAACAAATACAAGAACAGAATATCTAATTTAAACCACAACCATTAACAACAATGATCTTCTTCTGTCCCATTAACAACATTGATCTTCTTCTGTCCGAGAACCCTGAAATAAAACAAACACAAGAACATAATATCAAAACAACCACAAGCATTAACAGACACAAATGTAAACAACAAGATTGATCTTCATTAAAAAAAACATAATACATTAAAAAGAGCTACAACAACAAGATCCATTAAAAAGAACAACAACAAACAAGATCCATTTAAAAGAACAACAACGACCAACATTAAAAAGAACGACAACAACAACCATTAAAAAGAACGACAACAACAACCATTAAAAAGAACCTACAACATTTCAGTTATTAATTTGTTTTTCAAAGCCACTTCCAGTTCACTGAGATTCTCAGTCTTGGCAATGAGGCTAGTAAGCAATTTATGCTTGTTAGTGATCACTTTTTGCTGGCTAAGCTTCTCCTTTTGCTCAAAGTCCTTTTGCTTAATCTCCCATAAACCCTTAAACTCCACTGCCTCTTCTGAAACATGTGATTTGCTTTTACCCTTTGACTTTGCAGCTTTGACACCAATGGGCCTTGCTTCCTCCTCTCCTGCCACATGGTTTGATGACTGTGCTCCCTGGTCATCCCCCTTTCTTCTTTTCGAGCTCAGTTTGCTTTTGGTAGTAGGATCTCCACACCATTTTTGATCATGGCGAAGCTCCAACCAGGCATGCTCTAGTGTGAAATTGGCCTTGTTGTCGCTGAAATAAAATCCATAAGCTTTACTTAGGACATCATCTTCAGAGCAACCACTGCCTCTCTGTCTACAAGCAGCCTCGTAACACCCTACAAACTTGCACACACCTTCGTTAATCTTCAACCACCTTTGTTTACAGTTACTAGCCTCCCTCTTTTCCAGTCCCGCAAACTTTGGACTTGCTGCAACATATTTTGCAATGCGCTTCCAAAAAGCTTCTGCTTTCTGCTGATTACCCACCACAGGATCTTTTGAGGTGTTTAACCAAGCCGAGATTAGCACAAGATCTTCAACTGGTGTCCACTTCTTCCTTAATTTACGGTCAGAGACAATGTGCTCATCTTCGTTTGCATCTTCAGACCAAGGTATATCGAAGGCAGAGGCATTAGAGGAAGAAATCTCTACACTGGGTTCACGAGGGACAAATGGGAAGGGGTGGTTTGGTTGTTGACTATTTAATAGTCCTTGGAAGCTACAATTACTCGAAAGTGGATCCATAGAACTGAGAAAGAGATACGAAATAACAGATGAAAAAGGAAGAGTTGCTCTGTTTTAAAAGCTTGTTTGGTTTGAAGCAAATAAATAAGAGAGGAAGAGTTGCTCGGTTTTAAAAGCAACTCATGTTAATGGCAATCAATGTTTGTAATTAAAACAACAGCAACCAACCAACAAATTTATTGTTCCTAATTTAAACTAAAGCAACCAACCAGCCAACCAACAAAGTTATTGTTTGTAATTAAAACTAAACCAACCTAATCTATGTCCATTTAATTCGAACCTACTCTATCTCACGACAGCCAAGAATTGAATAAGGGAACATGGAGCTTTTAGTGATGTTTACCTGCCATCGTAGATGCACTCTGAAAATGAAACACACAAGGAGACAAGGAACAGCTTCACTGTCATCTTTTTTCTTCCTTTCCATTTAACTAACCTGAAAGAAAGAAAGACCAAACATTGGGTTAAATAAAAAAAGTAAAAGATCGAAAATTAAAGTTATGAGTGGGAACATATTGAAAAAACATGTTTGGCAAAATAGCAGAAGTTTCTTAGCATAAATGACGATACAATGTTCTCAACAGGAAAATTATAAGGAAACAAATAATCAACTCAGTGTATGCAGAAGCTAATATCAAAAGTCTATCTTGCAAAATAGCAGAAGTTTCTTAAAACCACAATAGACATGACAGAGCAGAGAGAGATACACTCACTTTTTGTTCCAACCCTGCAGACACAGATCGCTGTATCACTTTGTAACATGCAGTGTTAATGAAACATGCAGTGTATCACTTTTTAACCTGAAATTAAAAACAAAGTAATATTTTACTGAGTCAAGATAGACAACTTAATTACAAATTAGCTGTATTATTATCCACTATTATGCTGATAGCAAGGAAGTGTATAGAAGCTGAACCTGCTCAGAAAGAAATGAAATACCACCATGGTTGGCCATCTCATCAGCTTGATCCAGCAAGTAGGAATATTCCATTAACTGCAAGAAATGTTTAAAAATCTTAAATTTTGCCACTAGAAACAAACAAAATTTACAAACACAGTGAGAATAAGATACAAGACTACAAACCTCAGCCATCTTCTGGAGCATAGTCATAGGCTCAAATATAATAACAGGAAGTGTGACCATTGAGGTAATATCTGAACCTATATATTTCTGCATCATCTTCCACTATCACGTTCCTGTTAATCACATCAAAAGATAAGTTCCCAAAAAAGTTGCAATAAAGAAAAAAAAAGAATAAAAAAAGTAAGAGTAGTAAAACCTCGTCTTTCCACCTTCCTCTCTGAGCTTCCTCTTCTGCATTTTCCTTACCACCTTCTGGATTTATGACTTCAACACCTTCATAAGCAAGCAACCTTGAAAAAAAAAGTGAATCGAAACAACAATTAGCCAAAACAAAACTTGAATTGAACACTCAATCAAAAGGATCTATAACACAATTACCCATCAACCGGTTTCTCTCTTCCTGAAAGAAAGACAAAAAAAAAAAACAATAGTTTCACAACTCGTTCTATGTTTTTAAAACAAAACATGAGAGTACACCATAAGCAAAATATATTCCACCTGAACAGATCTCTTTTCATCCTCCACCTCTGCAATTTTCCGATCAACATCAAGAGAAGATCGTCAATGGTGAAACCGATCAACATCGAGAGCATCGATGGCGAAGAGAGGAGTCGTCGGAAACAGAGAGAAAAAAGCCGGAAAGAACCGCGATAATCATCTCCTACTCAAACCGATCACCATCGATTTCCATAACTAAAGTTTTCTCGAGAAATCGTCTGAGAGAGAGAGAGAAGAAAACATAAATTTTGATCCGATATCGAAAACGAAGAACGTGGTCACCGATTTTCAAGCCTATGGGAGCATGCCACGTATGGGGTTACTACAAGTTCTACCGCCTTCTCTTAAAGACGCGGTTCTGTGTTTTTCTTTTATTTTTCATTTATTTTTTCCCTTTTTTTTTTAAAGAACCTCTCATTATTACCCCCGATGGAGCTGGTCTTAGCTCTTAGATGTCTATGGACGGAAAAAGGCTTGACCAGTTTTTCAGAGTGGACCATTGTCTGTTTAAAGGGTACCAGTTTCATGTAATCAGTATTATCTTAGATTTTTTTTTTTTGTTCTCAGATTTTATATTGTATTGTGCTACTCTTTGGATTCTGATCGGGAATACTATAAAATGATATAATTATGAAAGTTCACAACAAAAAAAAAGACTGATTGACAAACACTCTGCTCTTTACAATTTATATAAAACCTTTTTATCAAGTATGTTATCAAAACTAAATAAACATGTCAGTTTCAACCATCTCAAATCAGTTATTGTTTTTTTATGAATTAATTTAAATTGTATTCTAGTCATATTTTAGAATAGTAAACATATTAATGTTATAATGATTATATTTCTAATATTTAAAATAAAACAGAATTGGAATTATTTTAATAATGTTTGAAATGGCTAGTGAAATAGAATTAAAAAAATTATGAAGCAAACTTTTTAACCAGCGTAACAAATATGTTGAAGTTTTTTTTATGTTTGAACTAATTTTGAAGGTAATTTTGCTGCTACTCTTTTTAATGACTAAATAACCAGATTTGATCAAAGATAATAGACAAACTAACTTATCAATTTGTGCATCACATCCTTAAAATGTTTAATTTGTAATAACAAGAAAATATATATAAAGGGGCGTCAACAATATTACTACATAGCATTAAACTACAAAATTCTGAATTAATATATGGTTGGTAATTTAGCAATTATAACTGGAACCGGTGAAGAAGATAATATAACTAGAGCATAGAGTGGTCATGGACTCTTGGGAAAAGTACGAATGCATGAAAAGATGTTGCTCATCTGCCTCTATATTATTCGTACAACTATATGATGTAATGATTATTACTTTGGGTGTTTAATTCTACAAAACCAAACCTAACCGAAATGGAGAAACTCGTTTGTATTTAAGAATTAAATAAACTGAATAGATATTAATATTAAAGAATCACAATATATAAATATATTTGATATATAATCCTATCAAATCAAATAATCTAAAAATCAATTAACTAAAATATAATTGTATAATTATATGTATAATTCTATGATACAATTGATCATATATACATTTTTTTATTTTATTGATACAACCTTCATGTTTAAAAGGTTGATATTAATACTTTGTTATTTTGTTTTAAGTTAAAACTTGTATGAATTTTTCATCAAATTCATAAAATTATATTTTTTGTTGTAAGATATCTATGTTAAAACTTAGTTATTAATAATGTTATGATATTACTGCTTTTTGTTATTTTAATTTAGAAAATTATTATAGTTATTAATTTTTTTTTTAATTTTTTTTTTATTGTTAAGTCAAATAAAAAATATTATATTTAAAACTAGAGTACTGGAACCATCTCTATGTTTTAATAAAATAGATTTCTAGTTATATAAATTAAATTCACCAAATTTCAAAAGATACTTTTTGGTATAAAATTGAATAAATTGAAAGTCAAAAATATCTAAACCAAATTAAAATAGATATGGTTTTAATATAGTTATTAATTTTATATAAAAATACTAGAAAAAACCAAAATCCAAATCGAACACCAGTTGTTATACTGAGAATATCTCCAATGTATGTCTCTATATTTTCCTTTAAAATATATTTTTATTATAGAGATGAATTTGAGTCAATGTATGTATCTCTATAATAGAGTTTTTCTATTTTAGAGAAAAATATAAAATTTGTTATTTTTTAATTTTATATTTAAAGATGAAAATAATGTAGCTTAATATTTTCTGCTATAAATAAAGAATTTTTTATATATTAGAGTAAATCTATTTCTGTAATAAAAAAATTTATTATAAAAAATATAATGATAAAAATAGAAGTAGGTTGGTGATGGTTTGTGCCCAAGAGTTATAGTGAGTAAAGCGTGTGAAAATAATCTTATATACTAGTGGTTCTCAAGAAACTTTTGTTCTGGCATCTGTCTGAAATCGTCGATAATTTCTAAATTTCTCTTATATGAAAGGTGAAGATTAAGTTTATTAATAAACCACAGTTTTGTAGAATTAAATGTGCTAGTCGTAACTGTTTTTGTGCAGTATCATTTCAAGGAACTGTGAACAAAAAAAATTAGGGAAACTATTGAAACTGTTAGAAAAAGAGTAATTTTTAGGTTTATTTTCTAGAGTGAACCTCTAAGTTTATCAACCATTAGAATTACGTTATTTTATATTTAGTATCTTTTAAAAAAGAAAATATTAGATAAATTTTTAACTTCTTTAAATTTTTTTTTAAAACTTGTTCGTAAAACACTAAATCCTAAATCTTTGGGTAACGAAACATTAAATCCTAAAACCTAAACTATTGGATAAATCCTCAACCCTTGGATAAATTTTCAACCCTTGAATTAATCTTAAACTGGATTAATCTCAAAATCAATCCAGTTTAAAATTAATCTAAGGGTTGAGGATTTATCCAAGGATTGATGATTTATTCAAAGGTTTAAGATTTAGGATTTAAGATTTAGGATTTAAGATTTAGGATTTAGTGTTTTACAGACAGTTTTTTTAAAAAATATATTTTTAAATATTTTTGTTTGCAACTACTATTATTTTTATTTTATTTTATCTTTTAATTTTAAAAACATAATATAACTCGATAATATTTTCGTCATCTGCTACATCAACTTTTGATTCAGAACGACTCCAAGAACACCTCCAAAAGATTTTTACATTTCCTCTATAATAATCAGCCTCGAGTGTCATGTCGATTTCTTATTGACCCCTTGCTATTTTATATTGATCTGTACGTTTCCAAAACCCTAGACAAAGGATCTTCATGGATATGGACAATTTCCATATTAAAATTACACTTTCCTTTTTTTTTGAAAATTATATTTATTCTTTAAGGTATAAATTTAATCTCCAAATTTATTTTTCTTGCAATTTCTCCACGATATAAACTTGCTACTCAAATTTAACCTAGTCCAACTCAGCAGGATGCACATGGTACTCCCACTCCGTATGTTTTGTGGAACACTGACTGACACCACCTGAGTCAGTAACTTCGTCAAGGCATAAACCACATGTTTATCCTTCTCCAGCTTGGCATCTTGCATCCACATGGTATTCCCACTTTGCAAGCCTTCTGTATTAATGACTGATGCAATCGTACATCAGTGATTACATCACCAACTTTGTCAAGGTAACCTATTGACATCTACAAGCTCTTGCTTGCATCAACAATCTCCACTTTTTAGTTTTGTGAGCCGATCAAGCACAACATCCTTCTGGTTCAGCAACCACATGCTTCCTCACCTAGAAACTTCCACACTAGATATGTTTTTTTCCCCCCATGAGATGTGCACCATCAAGATCTTCAATAGCTATGTTTTTCTCCCCTACGAGATATGCACTATCTACATCAGAACGTCTATCACACCATGCTCTTCTCCCCTATAAGATATACACACCTTGTACCAGAACGTCACAATTTCTCCCTTTGCTTGATTGCATACTAGATAAAAGGCAGATGCTTAGATGTCAAGACTTACATCAGAGATACTCATGTGTGCTCTTTCCTGCATAATCATGATACAACCCCTGTCACAGCGGAATTGATTACAGTACTATACCATGCTCTGACGCAGCATCGATATACCCCTCGGCCTACTTCTCTTGAGGACTTCTCTCAACCTATGTGTCATCTTCTCGACCACCATAACCTTAGAGTCCTTCCTCGTCACTGAGTGCAGGCCACACTCGTCGCTATAGGCTTTGAATGATACCTGTATCAATCTCCAGATGATCACCTTGCATTACTTCCTGATGAACTTCAATTTTTTAATTTTTTACACCACAAACAACTCCTTGCTCTGGCTCTAGGCCTGATGCTTCTTGATCTACTCCAAGGTCAACTCTGACAGAGCCGCATCCTCCTCTTGGTGTCTCTTCCTTGATTTCATCAAGTAAGCCACGCTTGGGTATACACACCCCAGTCCTCTTGGGTTCAATGAACGTCTTGTTCATCCTCTGAGCATTGTTCCTTCTCTTCTCACGAGCTAAACAGTCCACCTTCTTGTGTCCAACCTTCACACAAAACCAACAACACACTTGAGTTTGTTTCTTGTTTTTCCTGACACAATTTTTGATACACCGATCAGTCTTCTTCCTTGTACCACATGCACAACCACCCTTCAGAGACTCCTGCGTGACCTTGATGTTGTTGCATTGATATACCATTTTCGGCTTATTACTCACAGCACCACGCTGTAGGACTTCCTGCCGAACTTCTTGTCGTATCTCCTAACATACTTCCTTGTTTTCACTCTTTGATGTACTCCCCCGCATGAAGTGTGACAGCCCCTTTTGATGTACTTCACTAATACCTTCAGCTCCTCGATATCCCATACCTCAATTTACCTTTGCTGGTTGTCCCATCGAGCGTATCTGATCCAAGCTCTTAAATCCACTGTTGAGCATCCTGATCTGCTTGTGATTATCAGCTAAATCACGTTTCAGCATCCTCGCTCTTTATTGTTCACTTATAGCAACTTATTTAAGTTTTCTTACCTTCTGAACCAGAGAAATGTTCACCTCTTTTACAGAAGCAAGTTCTTCAGCCAACTTGCTCTGCTCTTGATGCAT